GGCCTTGGAGGAAGGGGTGGAGTGGGGGGCAAGGCCTGGGACAGAGCCAGGGATTGAGCACCCCCCAGCACACTGGAAAGTTGGTGCCTGCGGACCATTTTCATCGTATGTGCCACTTTGCAGACTACTCACTTCAACCATTTGCTTCTCACTATCCATTATTAGCCATTGGTCAGGTACGTCACAGGGTATATTTCCTGCTCTCTGAGTGGCTGAATGGCAGGGGAATAAGGAATAACAAATGATAAACAGTGAGGAGTGAGCATCAAGCCCCCCCCTTGTCAAGTGCAGATATCCTAGTTAATATGCAATTGGGGTCATGGCATGACGAACATCCAATCTTCAGCCATTCATGTGAACAGTAGCCCATTTCTATGAATGTTGTATAACAGCCACCATCTTGGTGGACACACGGAGGACTGAACCTGGGACTGTTAGCGCTAAATGCATGAGTTGCTACAGCTGAGCTAAAAAACACGTCCCTCGCAACATGACCTGATGCTGAACTCACCCCCATCATGTACAGATGAGCTGCAGAGGGGGCTTTGTAACACACTGACCTCATGGCCTACATGTGGAAATCAGGGCTGCAAATATGGCCAATATCGGTTTGGATTTAGAATGAATGTGCATGAGCGCTGTTTCTGTAGGGCTCGCCCAGCTCTAATCAGGGTATAGCTAAGGTGCTGGAGTTTGGAGCAGCTCTCGCAGGTGAAAAACCCCATGCAGAGGGCCAGCATGAGGAATATGCACTACGTAACTCCTCAAAATAGGCCTTAAGCAGGGCATAGGTTCTGTGCTGGTCCTCTTTGCAGGGGTGAATATTTCACCCGCCGATGGAACAGGTATGTTAAATCTTTGCACGCTGTTTTGTCAGGCCCATATGTTCCTTTAAGGTCAAGCTACCCTCGGAGCAGGAGCGGCGCCAGGGTTTTTGGCGCCCTAGGCGGAGGTCCTTCCGCACTCCCGGTCGTTGTCATCAATTCTGCGGCGGGGGGGTCCTTCCGCGCTCCCGGTCTTCGGGGCACTTCGGCGGC